AACAAGAATTATTTTTTCTTTACAAGTATTACTTTTATTCAAATGCAGATTTATGCAGTTTTAATTGATTGATTAATCAACTAACGTATCATTAATCAAGCACAGGTTTCTTTCTCTTTATGACAGTCTGACTGAAGAACATCATGTTTGAAGTTTCAAAGAGTGATATGAAAGCCCTGATAGACTGGGGATGGTTCATTCCCACACAGGACTCATAATAACTCAATGTAGTCATTCATCAGTTGCAGAAATTCCAAGGAAAACAGTGTGTTTGAAAGGCAGGTGAAGTGAAATGCGAGTGTTGTCTTTGGTGTTATATCTGCACAGGGCCATTTACACATGCTAGTCATCTATCAGTGTTACAAGTCACCAGTGAAAGTGTGCAGCTCCCCTGTAATAGCCTAGGGTTAGGTGCAGGTACTTACTGGACCACAACCAGATTCTTTGGGTTCAGAAATGGAAGACAAATAGCTAAAGCATCCCTAGTGTTTGCTAATCCTTCTAGTGTTGCGCAGTTCCTGGTTGGCTCCCAAGCTGACGGCCTGGGAATAAAAGTAATACGCTTGCATGGCGACCATACAGACTGCCACGCGAGCAGTATCCTGTACAGACGCCCTGCCGCTCTACAGCTGGGGGGGAGGGGCCATCTTGTCACCCCTCCCAGAGTGGCACCCAGGGCAGCTTGCCCCCTCCAACCCCCTTCCTCTGCTACTGTGTATATGTTGATAATATAATTTTGGTTACTGAGGACAAACAAGATTGTACAAAAACAAGATTGGGTGCAGGCCTGGCCAGGACATAGGCATCCTGACTGTGACAAATGTGACCTGTGTGCTTGCTTGCTTGATTAACAGCTGTTGGGAACTTCAAGGTCACTGCTCCTCCTTCTTGTGGTCTTTGTACTGGACCTGGAGACTCCAACAGAGAGCATTCCATGTCAAGAAGGAGGGCAAGTGGGCACACTATCAAATGACAGGGCAGGAGCTACACGGAGCAGGGCCTTTTCACTGGTGGTGCCCATTGTATGCCTCGCTCTTCCCAGACCTTCTCTCTTTTGGCCTGTATTGTGGAGCTTTATAATTTAGGAAGGCTTTGGAAGAACTGGTTGAGCTGATTTTATTTGCTGCTATTCTGGGCTTCTGGTGCACCAGGGTTTACACCAGCGTAATAGAGTTGGCCAGGATGCCAGAAGGGATACGATTTATGAGCTTTCTCCATTATCTGCACAGCAGGGGGTGTTCAGTTAACAGTGCAAAGGCTGAGCTGAAGCATTCCCTGCTTGTTACCTGCTTTCAACAATAGGGGTCGCTGTTTGGTAGTACCCAGTTGGTTAGCTGTCAGATTCTAGAGCTCCCTATTGGTGGCTCTTAGGTAATTCATAAAATACAGAGTCCATTCATAAAACACAGTGTTCATTCATAAAGCAGTAACACAAATCTCCATTGCTACATATTGGGTGTATATTTCAGCTTTTGAACGTACAAGTTTATGACCATGCTGTAGTGTAGTGGTTATGTGAATAAAAGGTGGCTGGGCTCATTGTCTCAGGGTTTGGGGGGGGGAGAGGTGACAAAACTGATTTCCAATAAGTACCCCCCCTTTATTTCCATAACAAGTCCTTGAGTCTGTACTCTGAATGGTGACACCAGGGACCTAGAAGGTGCAGGGCTTGTCAGTCCAACCCCTGCACAGTCTCATCAGGGCTGACCTTAATGCAATTGGAGCAATTGGGCCAAATTGGGCTCCATGGGCCGCTTCTAAGCCCCCCCCCCCCCGCACCAGGGCAATCTAGATGGATTTTATTTATATCTATAAGATTTTGCAAACTTTGGCTGTGAACTGGGGCCCTGCAAAAAAAAAAAATCAAGTTACGCCCCACTGCTTCAAATTGGGCCCCACTGGCTAGTCCTGAGTATAATAGTTGCCGGGCCTGAGTTGCCCTGCCCTTGCATGAAGTCTTGGGTTTGCAATTTTGGGAGAGGGGAGACTGCAGCACTGGAGAGAGGGCAGGCTGGTAAGGCACCCCTAGACTCAGAGGCCCGAGTTGCCCTGCCCTTGCATGAAGTCTTGGGTTTGCAATTTTGGGAGAGGGGAGACTTCCCACTGGGGAGCGGGAGGGGTGGCAAGGCCCCATAGATTTAGAGTCCCTAGGCTTCAGCCTACTTAGCCTATACATAAATCCAGCACTGAGCAGACTCTTCTTATGTTCTTTCTTACAGGTTAGCATTTGATCAGTTATTATTTCTTTCATAAGGAAGGTTCCCTCAACCCTCCCATCCCCAAATGAAAGGGGGCAAATGACTTTAAAACTAGGAGTGACTTCTGGAACTTCTGGATAGGAGTTTTCAAATACCAGCCTCAGATATTTCTGCCGCTCACTTCCCTCGGGGATAATGGGAGGGTTGCCAGCTACAAAGACTGAGATGCCACTGAAACCTGCTCTGAAGCAAATGACTGATTGTAATTGAGGAGCGTCTGTGTCTCTCTTGAGCTGTTTGTCACCTGCATGGCTTTTTTTAGTTCTCCCACTACCCCAGGCAACGATTTTAAATGTTCTACACTTAAATGCATTTGCATATGTGAATGAGCAGTGCCTCCCCCCCCCTCAATTTGGGCAGGGTGGCAACTCTAATTTATTTGTGCTTCGATTTCACTTCAGCAGCTTTGCATATTACTAAGAGGTGGAATGGGAAGGAAACACAAACAAATCACGCTTTCTGTTTCTTCATGCTTCCAGTAAAAGCCTAAGATTAAGATCAGACCAAAGTGGGTCCATTTTGTCCAGGAGCAGAGAAACCCAGACCCTCTGGGCCTTTCTATCTGGCCATTGGAATTCTTCCCAGTCCACATCCCTCACTCCCTCTGCTTCACACCTTCCTTGAGTGTTTTTGCCTGGCTGGAATATGTCCTCGAATTCTGATAATGCCCCTAGGTTGCCTGGATGGATAGTGGGGTATGTTTAAAACCCATCCTCTTTTAATGGCATCCAAGTTGGTGGCCATCACTGCATCTAGTGGGAGAGAGTTCCATAGTTTTAACTATGTGCTGCATGAAGACATACTTTCTTGAATCTTATAGCCAGTGCTTTTTTTCCCCTCGGGGTACGCAGGGGTATGCATACCCCTAAACTTTTTGTGAATCTTTGTACTTTTGACCATTTACTGTATTTATTTTTCCTGAGTTGAACTACAAAACAGTGATTTTCTTGAGTCAAAATGAGAGTACCCTTAAACACTCTTTTTTGGGGGGGAAGCACTGCTTACAGCATTCAGCCTCACCTATTATTGCCCATGAGTTCTAGTCTTATGAGAGAGGAAGAAAAACTGTTCTCTCTCCACTCTCTGCATGCCAGGCACAATTTTAAACACTTCCATCATGTCACCTCTTACTCACATTTTCTCAGAATTAAAAAGTCCCATAGGCAGCACCCTTTACTCACAGGGAGTTGCTCATTTTGGTTGCCCTTTTCTATCTCATCACCCTGCCCCACACCACCAAAACAAGGGATACTCCTGCTTGCTATATTTGAAAAATTCACCTGTAATAAGGCGTATAAGGAGATGAGCTTATTATGCATGTGGTCACCCTTTGGGGACATATGCATATACTTCAAAACACAATTAAGCACAGGAGCAACTGTGCTTCTCCTATTTGCAGGAGAAGCTGAAAGTGAAGAATCCAAATTGGCTGGACCTTGAATCAGCATTGACATGCTTCTCTCTCGCCTCCAAATGTCGATTGCCTGCCCTTACTCCTATCCAGTAGCCAACTCCTTCTCACCTGGCTGGCTGCAGCTACCCAAAATTCCAAGCAGAATTTCAAAGGACCTTATAAGACCTCTCCTCCTCCCAGAGGGGAGGGGTTGTGAGCGGGAGCAGCCTCCCGCGGGGGCAGGGAGGCGTATTCGGCTCCCTGCTCCTGATTGCTTCTGCTGCTGCGGCCAAGCCTCCCAGCTGACCAATAGGGCTGGCTGGTGGGCGGGGCTAAAATGCGTTTAAACAGCCGCAGCAGCGCTCTGCTCCCAGTCTGTTCCTGCTTTCTTCAGATCTCCCGCCCTCTTAGGTCAGCTTCTTTTTGCGTATTGACCTTGCTATGGACTTCGGTTGGTTGCCTTGGTTGTCCAAGGGGCCTGGTAGGACTTTTTTATCCATTTGGCAAATTGGCACCAGCCTCTTGTTTTTTTTCGCCTACCTCGTAGCAATTTGTCACAACTTTCTGGTATTGGCGGTTAGGCATTGGAATATGTGTGCTGTGTTGGAGGATTGGGTATGCGCCATCATCTACCCCTCCTCTTTTGGGTATTCCGTTAAAGGAATCGGGCGGTCGTGGATCCTGTCCGATGCCCTGCTGGTGGCTAGGGCCATGGCACAATCCCCCGGTGAGGTCATAGGGGAACTTCCAGTTGTATTTGCATCAACAAGCTCCTCCCATTGGTTGTTAACCCTGATATGACTCCCAGCTGTGCGGGGTGGAGTCTGGTATTGCTGTTTCATCCAATGCCTAAGCCAATACTCACATGCTGTAACCAATAAAAGTTGTAGCCTAATTTTGCCCATTAACCTAAAATAATGTGTCTGTGTGTATTATTATAATCCTATGCGGGTGGAGGGTCCTCAACTCACAATGCTACCTTTTCCCTGGAGATTCTGGGGGGCTGTATCTGAAATCTTCTACATTCCAAGCATGAGCAGTACCACTGAACTACCTTCCGAAGATCCTAGGCACACATCCAAAGGAGCAAATCTCACTGAACAACCGAATGAGTGACTGAGGAGTTAACATACATAGGATGGAGTCAACCGCAAGAAAATGGGACCTAGCAGATGACAATTGCAGCTGTACATGGGTGTCTCTGAACTAAGGGACATGCCCATTGCAAAATAGAGTTCATAAGCTTCAGATCAGGATGCATCTATGATGTGCAAACATTCTCTCTCCCTGCAGCAAAAAAAACGGGTTGCTTTCTGACGTCATAATCTCTCATCTCTTCTCCTTTGCAGGCAGCTGAACTGGGAATGGTGTCAGCCTATTACACGTATATCTTCACTAATCTGGTAAGACATTTCTTCAGCTCTGTGTCCCCCCCCCCGCTCCCCCCGCCGCCATAAGAGTCTTATTGACAAAAGCTGACCTGTTCAAGCTGCGATGTGTCTAGCACTTCCGCAGATGCCATGAATGAGAGGAAGAAGAGAGAGAAATCTGGGGGAGATGTAGGGTGCCTCTGTATTTGCATTTTATTAGTATTAGTATTAAAGGACTTGAAAAGTTGTGAAATATGTAGACTAGGAGCAACATCATCTCCTAAGCAATGCACTTATCCAAGTTTTTCATAAGCCTTTTCTGCCAAGCCAAAGAAACCCACGTGTCCCCGCTTTTCCAGCTTGTTTACATTGCATTATGGAGACTCTGCAAGGCCATTTTTAGTTTTTTTAAAAAAGGATTTAGGCAAATTTGTGAAAGGTGTCTCCTGATGGTTAATAAATTTGGCAGCTAAATGGAGCATCCATGTTCAGAGACAGTATATCTTTCAATACCAGATACAGGGGATAAGCAAAAGGGACGGCCTACTTGTGAGTTTCCCAGGGACACCTGGCTGGCTGGTGTAGGAAAACGGACAAGCAATTGTTTAACATTGCAACCAAGACGACTGGGAAAGTCAAACAGGTCAATTCATGACATGTTTATTTTTAAGAGGTGGTACGGAATACTAATAATAATAATAATAATAATAATAATAATAGTAGTAGTAGTAGTAGTAGTAGTAATAATTTATTATTTATATCCTGCCCATCTGGCTGGGTTTCCCCAGCCACTCTGGGTGACTTCCAGCAAAATATTAAAATACAATAATTCATCAAATATTAAAAGCTTCCCTAAACAGGGCTGCCTTCAGATGTCTTCTAAAAGTCAGATACAGTAGTTGTTTATTTCCTTGACATCTGGTGGGATGGCGTTCCACAGGGCGGGCGCCACTACCAATTATTATTATTTGTAATCTTATATTTATTGCATTGATATGATGATCTCACTACCCTGGCTACATTTGAACATATAGGACTCAATTTTGTGTAGATGCCTCTTTAGGGTCTTACATTAACTTAAATGCTTCATTTAAGATCTATGTACTGATGGTAAATGTGTTCTCAATTTATTTATTTATTCCGTTTATTTAAATTCTTCCTTTTTCTCTAAGGAGCTCAAGGTAATGTACATGGCTCTCCCCTCTCCTCCTTTCTATCTCACAACAACCCTGTGAAATACATCAGGCTGAGAGGCAGTGACTGGCCCAAGTCACCCAGTGAGCATTGTGGCTGAGTGGGTATTTGGACCCTGGTCTCCCATACTCTAGTCTGTTGTGTCACTCTAACCACTACACCACACTGTTAACAGCCTGCCATGTTTTCTGGTTCTAGTGTGCTGGTGGGGTGGTTTGTTTTGTTCTTGTTAGGCCCTTGCAGCTGTTTGTTGTAAAGTGGGTGTAGCTGTTCATGTATAGATCAGCTTTATCAGGAAGTATTGACAGGATCCAGCCCATACTGGGACTTTAATGCCAGGACTATGACTGCAAAGTGATGATGAAAGGACCTAAGCTGGTGTCCTTGCAAACGTACCGGAAAATACGGCCCTCAGCATCGAACCTTTCCTCATAACAATTAAAAATTGCTTTTTGAGCTTTAATTTCCTTTGGCACAGCTTCAGTGTGCTTAGAAATTGGGGGGCTCTTTTTTTCTGACGAAGGGGCCGAGCTATCTTGTGAGGGGAGGCGGTGGTTAATGAGGAGAAGTAGCTACAGTTTCCTTTCTGGCGTTCTTTAAAATGGATATCAGCTTTCTAATGCTATAATTCAAGGATGGGCTCGGGAAGAGGCTGAATAAAATTTCTTCTCCTCTTGAAATTAACTTTTGTGTGAGAGATTTCTCCTGCCATTGGCAAATCTTTCTCATTTGCACGCCGTTGTGTGGATTTCTCGTGATCGTTTCTCAATAGCTCTATTATGCCGTATAAATGATTTTTAAAAAAACCCCTTCCTGGGCAGTTTTATCTGTCGTACTTCAAAGCCATAAAACAAGCATTCCTATCCATCAGGGGTGGCTTTCGTTAACTGTGGGCTCAGATCATTTGTCTTTCCCCCTGAGTAAATGGAGGGTTGCCTTGCACTGAGTGGGGTCCCTGCCATCAAGTGTGGGACCAGTCATGTACATGGGGGAGGGCTATAACTCAGGAGCCCCTCAGACTGATGGGCTTTTGGGAGGGGGAGTGAATGTCATTGATGCAATATTAGGGCATTTGTGGTGGATTTATTCAGGTCTTCCCACACATCACCGTGCTTTATTGTATGGGGAAGTGTGAATTACTGAATCAAGTTCCTCCCCCAGCCCTGGCCAGGTAGTGAGATCCTTGCTTGCAACCTGCGAGAGTTCATTTGGTCGGGTGATATGGCACCCCGCCATTACTTTGGACCAGGAGGTCTTGTTTCGCAATGATGGCGTTCACCTTTCCGATTGGGGAAATGACATTTCGGCTGGTTGACATCATGGAGGGCATTAGAGGTTGGTTGCAGGTGTGAGGGTGTTGATGGTGAGCCATTTGGCTCAAGTGGTGGTTAGGCGTTGCGTAAGCCTTTGTGATGGGAGGGGAGGTTGTTGCCTCTGCCCACCCCTCCTCGATAAGGGTATCCTGTCCGAAGCCCGGGTGTGGGCTAGGGCCATGCCATGACCCATCGGGGACCCGGGGTGTGTGTGTCTTGATTTGACGTATGTCATAGGGCTCCCCCACTGGTGGTTTACCCTTAATGCAACTCCCTGCAGATGGGCAGGAGTCAGGATATAGTCTGGTTCCACCCAATGCCTAAGCCAAACCGCAAACATCTGTAACCAATAAAGTTGTGGCTTATTTTAGCCTATTGGACTTAATTATCCGTGCCCATGTGTGTTTATTATATAAGGGAACTACGGGGCCTGGGGCCTTGTCACGCAGGTAGGGTGAGCCAGAAAAAAATAAGCTGATTGCATTCCACCTATTGCAATGTGACATTTCATAATAATAATAATAATAATAATAATAATAATAATAATAATAATAATAATAATAATTAATAATTTATTATTTATACCCCGCCCATCTGGCTGAGTTTCCCCAGCCACTCTGGGCGGCTTCCAATCAAGTGTTAAAAACAATACAGCATTAAATATCAAAAACTTCCCTAAACAGGGCTGCCTTCAGATGTCTTTTAAAGATAAGACAGCTGCTTATTTCCTTCACATCTGATGGGAGGGTGTTCCACAGGGTGGGCACCACTACCGAGAAGGCCCTCTGTCTGGTTCCCTGTAACCTCACTTCTTGCAATGAGGGAACCGCCAGAAGGCCTTCGGCGCTGGACCTCAGTGTCTGGGCTGAATGATGGGGATGGAGACGCTCTTTCAGGTATACAGGACCAAGGCCATTTAGGGCTTTAAAGGTCAGCACCAACACTTTGAATTGTGCTCCGAAACGTACTGGGAGCCAATGCAGATCTCTCAGGACCGGTGTTATGTGGTCCCAGCGGCCACTCCCAGTCACCAGTCTAGCTGCCACATTCTGGATTAGTTGCAGTTTCTGGGTCACCTTCAAAGGTAGCCCCACGTAGCGCGCATTGCAGTAGTCGAAGCAGGAGATAACTAGAGCATGCACCACTCTGGCAAGACAGTCCGCAGGCAGGTAGGGTCTCAGCCTGCATACCAAATGGAGCTTGTAGACAGCCACCCTGGACACAGAATTAACCTGTGCCTCCATGGACAACTGTGAGTCCAAAATGACTCCCAGGCTGCACACCTGGTCCTTCAGGGGCACAGTTACCCCATTCAGGACCAGGGAATCCCCCACACTCGCCCGCCCCCCAAAACAGTACTTCTGTCTTGTCAGGATTCAACCTCAATCTGTTAGCCGCCATCCATCCTCCAACCGCCTCCAGGCACTCACACAGGACCTTCACCGCCTTCACTGGTTCTGATTTAAAAGAGAGGTAGAGCTGCATATGGGCGGATTCTCCACTGCAGCCCCACATCACCCCAGCTATTGGCTCCATTGCAGCCACCACCTTGACTGTTTGGAGAAACTTTGCACTTCATCTGCGCTTACCAGTGCGGGGTTGAACCAACCAGTTGTATTAAATCAGAGAGGAGGATCGGGTGTGTCCCTGTAGGGACTTTGTTTATTTTTGTTTATTTCATTCATATTCCATCTTTCCTCCAAGGAGCTCCAAGGTGGCATACTTGGTTCCCCTCCTCCTCCCCATAATATCCTCACAGGAACCCTGTGAGGTAGGTCAGACTGAGAGTGAGTGACTGGCCCAAAGTCACCCAGTGAGCTTCATGGCTGAGTGGGGATTTGAACCTTGGCCTCCCAGATCCTAGTCCCTAACCACTACACCACACTGTCTCCTTCCCAATGTGGAAAACCACAGACAATTCTGGGTGCATTTTTGTTTTCAGTCAAGCTTTTGGGAGGTGAGACAATCGAGCCGACAACTCTGCAAGACTTAACCGGGAGCCAAGTAGCGAAAATCTCCCCCTCCCAGTGCAGCTTTGTGTTAAAAATGTGAAATGGTGAGCCTAAAGCAGCAGCAGGCAGAGAGAAAAGCCCCTGGGTCAACATTGTGCATGTTTCCCTTTCCCATCTAGGCTCACCAAGAAGGTGAGGGCAGGAGGTTTCAGTGAGGGCAGACAGAGGAGAAGGGCTATTTCCTGAGATCACACAGATGAAATCAGACACCCTTTTTACAAAGACTGGTTTAGGGATAATGAAATCTCCATTGCCTTGGAGGCAAGGGGATGGATGAGGTGATTAACTGGAGGGGCCTTCCAACCCGGAGAGTGCTCTGTTTCTATAATTCCAGTGAATATTTATGGCACTGTGCATGTGCGCCAAGAGGAGTAGTGAGCATGCTGTGTATTTGGGTGGGAGAAGCAGATGGGAGAAAGCAGCAAGGAAGAGTGATCTAAACTTAGTGAAATGGGAGGGATGGGCAGGAATGCTGGAAGCCAACAGGGGAGAGGCTGCAAGGAGAGAGGAGGGG